TAAAACTATTCTACAATTTTGACAATCTTACCAATGGCAATAGTAGTACCTTGATCTCTTAAAGTGAATCTACCTAATTGTGGGTAGTCTTGGTATGTTTCAACACAGACTGGTTCATTGGTTTCCAATAATGCAATGATCTTCATACCCTTCTTAGCAAAAGCAGGAGGCTTCTTAGATCTACGGTTGGTACCTTTTTCAAGCTTATGCAATAATCTTGTGATAGTAACTTCTTCAATAGCTGTGTGAATATGCATGACACAAGAGAAACCTGCTGACATAATAGACTTCAATTCAACCATGGCAATTTCAGCAACAAATTTTGTTACACTCTTTACTGGGTTTTTTGGAGAAGTTAAAACAAAACCAGCAGAAATTTCTTCTTCTTCAACACCCTTGATTCTCAATTTAACTTGTTCACCACAAATAGCCATATCAACTTCATTTTCAGTTTCGTTATAAATATTTTGAATTTCGACTGGGATTCTGTTTGGCATTAACAAGGTGGAGTTACCCTTCTTGATATGACCAGATTCAATTTTACCTTCAACAACAGTACCCATATCTTTCATTTTAGATGAAATTGGCAACATAAATGGAGCATTGATGTGACGATCCATGTGGTTCATAGCATCCAAGTATTCTAACAAGGCTGGTCCAGTGTACCATGGACAATCCTTTGGATCAACACGGTTCTTCAAACCAGCACCACTGTAACCAGAAACTGGCATGAAAATAACATCTTCTTTAATGTTATAACCAACAGCTTTTAAGAAATTGTTTAAGTTAGCAACACATTGGTTATAACGTTCTTCAGACCAGTTGACAGTTGGATCATCCATCTTGTTGATAACAACAATCATTTTGTTAACACCTTGAGTCTTAGCCAATAAGGCATGTTCACGAGTTTGACCACCCTTTTCAAAACCTGTTTCATATTCACCCTTTCTTGCGGAGATAACTAAAATACCAACATCAGCTTGAGAAGCACCACCAATCATTTCAGAAACATACATTTTGTGACCAGGAGCATCCAATATTGTGTAACGTCTCTTTTCAGTTTCGAAGTAAGCTCTACCAACTTCAATAGTTTTACCGTCATTTCTTTCTTCTTTGTTAGTATCCATAACCCAAGACAAATACCAACCCTGTCTACCAGCATCTTTAGCTTCTCTTTCGTACTTTTCAACGGTTCTCTTATCAACAGAACCTGTCAAATATAAAATGTTACCACCCATGGTAGATTTACCAGCATCGACATGACCCATGAAAATAATAGACATATGATCTTTACCACCGAACATATCGTTAACGACTTCTTGATCAATTTCATCTTCTTGTTGCTTTATCAATGATTCAGCATTTGATGTGTTTTCAGTGGCGGCAGGTGCCTCTTTTGGAGTTTCCTTTGGAGTTTCAGCTTCAGTGGTTGCAGATTTTTGAGAAATTTCAAGTTTTTCAATCTTTGGCAAATCTGATGCTTCTTTCTTGGCATCAGTAGTTTCCTTAGCATCTGTTTTTTCAGGAGTTGGCTCAGCTTTTTTGCTTGCATTAGCCAATTTGATACCAGAACTAGAAACCAACTTCAAAGTTTTCTTTGGCTTAGCAGTTTGTTGTTGTTCTTGTTGCTTTTGGAAGTCTTCTAAAGTCATACCTTGAGATGATTGCTGTTGACCATTATTGTTTTGGTAGTTATTACGGTTGTTATAGTTCTTATAACCGCCGCGACCTTGGTTTTGTTGGTAACCACCATAGTTTTGTTGTTGGTAACCACCTTGTTGATAGTTACCATAGGATTGTTGTTGATAATTACCTTGAGGCTTACCACCTTGTTGGTAGCCGCCTTGTTGATAACCACCTTGTTGATAACCACCTTGTTGGTAACCACCATAGTTTTGCTGTTGATAACCACCTTGGTTTTGTTGTTGGTAACCACCTTGCTGTTGTTGATAATAGTTTTGGTAGTAGTTTTGATATTGACCTTGACCTTGGCCTTGACCTTGACCTTGACCTTGACCTTGACCTTGACCTTGTTGTGGTTGGTTGAAGTTTTGATTCTGTTCAGACATAACTAACAAGTATAGATATCGACCCGAGAACCTATATGGAAATATATATGCTTATGTTTAACCTTTATAATCTTAAATCTTGCACATTATTTAACTTACTGTTCTTATGAACTGCTTTAAAATTCTTTGAGATGAGATGAAAAATTTTTAGAATGTACTGGAAAAATCACGTGAGTGATTTTTCCAATCACCATTGACGAATACTGCATGTCACATAATATAATATACGTTCCTGTTCCTAAACAATGACAGACTATTACTCAGACACATTCCTCAAACCGACCATGTTTAGTTTTTTGTTCACTACAACAATGAGATTTTTCTTCTTAATTTAAGATGCATTCACGACTTTTACTTCAATCTATTTTATTATCACTTTGCTTATACTGTTTTTGGCATTGAATAGAAATCCAATAGAATAATATAGAAATATATGAATATATACTTGATTTACTAATTACTGAATACCTCTATACTGTAAGAGCTAATTAAATTTATGAGGAAAATTGTTGCATACCTAAATTGGTGGATAAATTGTTAAATACGTCCTCTTAGTTAGATTTACTTGTTACCCTACACATCTAGATTGACATACTGTGTCCTTAATAATAGAAACACACACATATATTAATCACAATATACGAATGTATACTAAGAGCTGGTTACATGGCGTCACATATACCAAAGGGCTCTACAAACGCTATCATCAGTATTTGATGGCAACTTACCACCAGTTGAAGTCTACTTAAAATATTGAAACACTATAAACTCTACAACATTAAATAAACGGGTACTTAGTAGGTCAGAAAGCTTAGTTTGAGATTCAAATATTCCAGTTTATACATAATTTCCCTGACCTGTCATTTTTCTTTTCCCTGTGAATTAATTAGACTGGGTTTGGGTTCTGCTCAAATTCTAATTCAGCGTCTGGGATATCTTCAATCATAATCTTCTTTTTTGGTGCTGGTTTCTTACCATCGGTCAATATTTTTGGGACCTTTATTTGCAGCAACCCGTTTGCATAAGTGGCTTTTATATCTTCGTCATTGATTCCTGGGAAAACTGGGAATTTTGACCTTTCTTTTGAATGAACCAGTTCTGATTTCAGTGACTTTCAGGTACTTTTCATCAATGCTTTTTTTATCCTCAATGTTACCTTTAACTAACAGTTCGTGAGATGATGGGTGGTAATCAATACTAAATGAATTTGATGCAGCGCCTGGTAATGCCATCATCACAGTGTAATTTTCAGGTTCATTATAAACGTTTAATTCCGGAGAAAATGGAAAATTTACCCTTGTTTCAGGCTTGGACACTTGAACTTTACCAACAGGAGTTGCAACAATTTCCTTTTCGGTTTCCTTTCCCTCTCCATCAGCACTGGGTTTTGTTTCTTCTGGAGATTTTATTTCGTCACCAGCCATATTAATGTCTTGCTCAAGAGGTTGGTCAGATGAGGCGCCGTCACCTTCAGCCTCCGCAATCTTACGTTTTAAGGTCTCTTCAAATGCATTTATCCCTTCCCTTTCAGTGTTAGAATAGGAACGCCCAGAATCTGGGTATTCTGATGGTGCATTGTCAAGAAGAGAAACTAACAAATCGTTCAAAAATTGACGATTGCCAGTGGCAGTAGCATTATCACCATAATGTGATAACAAATGATTCACTTCTGGAGTATTATTATCACGATGATGGTGATGATGTCCAGCAAATCTATTCAAATAGTTGTCTCCACCTGTTTCCTCTTCATCTTCATCATCGTAATACAAACTAGGTCTATAGTAAACTCCCCTTACTTGCCCTTCACCACCAAAGGGATCCGGCCTTTGGTTGTAACCAAGTAATTGATTCATCTGCCTTGCCCTCTCCTGTTCTCTTATTTGAGAATGTGCATAGAGCGCATTCATAATATCATACAGTGACATGGATGGTTGATAAAAACTCATTTTGAGACTATATATTGGTTCTACTCAATTTACGAAGTTCTGCTAAAATAGATGATTTCCAATCCCCTATCAATTAAAAATAAAAATAATTCCAACATCCATAAAGCTTCATGAATTTTGGTTAACCCATCATGATCTTATATACAATTCATTTTTGTACATTGTTATACATCAGCTCATGTCGAAAAGTCCTACATACAATTACTCTTTCGGGGCCACCCTTAAATAAACCTCATAAATATCAATTACAACCAACAAATCATATTCAATTTACGATTCATAGCAACTAACTTTCAAGAATAACTTTAAAATATCCACTAGATGAAAGCTAAAACAAGAATAATATGCCCCTCTAAACATTTCCCATTGACTAACGACTTTCTTTTTATACATTCTTGATCCAGTTCATCCACTACACGGTTGGTCCCATCGTTCATCTGTAACTTTTCTTTTCTACCATAAGAATGAACATCAAGCAAGTATAAATCATTCAAGTAGGTTTATTATATCAATCAAGAAAGTTCAGAAGGATATGCTTCTTGATAGTTACCTGGTGCATTTTATTGGCAATTGTTTTAATAGCTTTGGGTCTGTTGCCATTGCATCTCTTGAGTTTTGCCCTTTTTTTGTTAAATAAGCAGATGATGGATTAAGCTAAATTATATACATCGTCGTTGATATTATGTGTTTAAAACTATACAGAAGAAGTATATCTTGCGTGTAGGTTAATAATTATTTAGAGATTTTTATGATGTCACCTTTTTAATTAAACTGTGTTTTGCTTTAAACATTGAGATGTGGCGATCATCAAGTAGGATAGTTTCCCCTTACTTATGATTTCATGACTTTTCTTAATTTCCAATTGTCACAGTTTAATAGCGTTATTAAGGTTGATTGCATTAACTTGTTTTTCATTTTATATTATCTTGTTATGATACAGTGCTTCCATTCTTACTGAACTAAACTCCAGTTATTTAAGTTATTACACATTGTCTTGACTGGTTTATATTCATAAATATTTGATGATTTTTAAACTAATAAATATCGATATCCAATCAATCTTATGCATTCTGATAAGCTGCGATTCTTGCAAATATGCTCAGAATACTATGTCTTCGCTTTAATATTTGTACCCAACTATTTAGGAAGTCTTCTGATAGATTTACTAAAGGAACTACTAATAACCCGTAACATCAAAGAATGTACCGGTCAAATTACTGATATAAATATCAGGTTTTCTATCGATACAATCTCCTATATAACTATGTTGTATGATTTTTTAAGACTTGAATAAGAAATGGACGTGCTCCCATCACATCACTGGAATCAAAATCAATTTAAATCAAATCAAATAATATCTAGTCAGAGGATAATATATACTTACTGAATTGTTCTTAATCCAAGATAAATAATATAGGAACGTTTCTGGCTACCAAAAAGAAAGTCATGGTGTTTTACGTTTCATGACACTCATAATCTAACGCCAATAGTTCTAATTTAGCATAATTTTGGATTATATTGATAATTTTAAAAATCAAGCTCTGGGTATTTCCAAAGGGAGAAATTCTAAGTAATTAATAGAAATATCCATGAGCAGGTAAATATAGTCAAGATAGTTTAAATCAGTTGATTTATCCCCCGACTTTTCCTCACAAATTTACATTTAAGAATCTCCAGTTTAAGAGGGGGGTTTATCTTCTTCTTCAACTGTATCACAAGTTAAAAGTTTAATCATTTAAAAACATTTTTGTAGACACCTGTTAATTCATCTCTGTAGTGTGTTGCTTTAATACTAATTCCATTCTATTAGTTAATCTTGTTAAGCTTTCATATTTCTATAATCACGTGATTTAAACGAATAAGGTTCTTACCCGGAGGTAAAGAAAACTACCAGACCTGCTTACGTATAAAATGATAATCCTGATAGAGTTGTATAATAATAAATATAAAACAAGAGCTCTGATAAGTATTCGTTGTAGAGTTGTTAAGTCTTGTAATAGTGAAATGTATTCAAAAATATGCATGAGTAGTCGAAATGGTCTCTTAAAACTAGAAATCGTCCAATAATGCATTTCCTAATATACAGTCAAAAGGATGAATCATAGGTGTTTTGTCATAAGAGTCAGGATTGGAGAATGGAGAGTGCATAAGTGAGTGACTTTCATGAGTGTCACTCTTTTCATAGGCATCATTAATTTTACAAGTATAACTATGGCCACACGTATGTGGCTATGACCTGCATCTGTGCTGTCAATTTATTTTTGTTTGTACGTGGTGATGTTTTGGTTGCAGATATTTCACTCGGGTAAAAGTAGTTTACCCTACCTCAATCGGAGTGAAAAATGTCGCTACCAAAACATCACCCACTTTGAAACATAGCACAGAATCTGAGCGTGCAAGTGTAAATTACAATAACATGCACGATTATACTCATACTCATATACGTAATGACATTGTCCGACTTCCAGGAGATCTATAAAAGAGCCATGAAAAATTCCTTTATTTAATCCTCGTTCCTGTCAATATAGAGTTGTGGGTATTACAGTCTCAGTGCTATTTGCCAGGGTGTACTTCTTCTAGATGGTTCTTGTTTAAAGAGACCAGATTGATTTCTCATATCACATAACACTGCTTACATTTATAAAACTTACAAGTCACTAGCTGATACTAGATAAACACATAGTTTATACTATTACACAAGTCGAGTAGACTTGCCGTATACTAGGCAAAAGGGCCTAATGTTATTGCACACACTTTTCCTTATCCGTAAGGTTATGAGCTCTGATCTAAACTGAAAGTTAACTTATTATTATTTAATATTTGAAGACGTGAAGTTAGAAATCAGTCCTAAAAATTTCAAATTATCTTAGTAATGGTCAACATGGTATTTAAAATTCCTTCTCCTATTGAATAAAGTTCATCTGCAACCCAGAACTTCATATTCTACAGATGAAAGGATTAAGGAATCCATGAAACTTTATGAATTTTAAGATGAGTTTGAATCCAATGCTTACGATTAAATTGATGAATTCATCAGGCAACGAACGGAATATTAGCGGAACCATCAATAAAATAACTATCATAAAGTTGGACCAATTACTAGAATAGTATGAACATGCCCTACTTATGCTCAAGGAAGATCGGATCTTTACATGTATAACAACTCCAAATGAAATAGAATTAAAAAATGACCTACAAAAATCCTTAAACAAACAGATTGATGATATTTTCTGTGATACCCTAATGATAAAAAATGAAAATGAGAAGGTAAAGGATTTGTTGAAAGATAAAAATGCCAAACAAATAATGAATTATGTCATAGAATCAATTGAAAAGACTAGAATACAAAGGAAATTTGATAAGGTCATTGATTCTGTAATTGGCACTCGAACCCTATTAAATGAAAAACATGACTCAATTAAGAAACTATTCAGATGTACCTATGATAAAGCAAACTCTTTCAAAGAAAGAGATAAATATGGTCTAATAGTATCTAGGATCTTATTTGAGTACCGACTTAAAGATAGAAATTTACCATTTCCAAAGGAAAGATTTAAAAAGTTGCTGATTAAAGAAATATATATCGTTGGTTCGATAGCTAATCGGTTATGTGATATCTCGTAGTCGAGGAATATAATCTTGAGTTTAGCAACATGAATTTTTTTTATAACTGAGTGACAGGCCATGATCTGCTAAAAAAGCCATGATGTGTTTTAAAATAGCGTAATGGTCGTTGATGGTAGAAGAAGCAATGATAAGGTCGTCGTAGTAATATGATACTGCGGTGTTCTTTGATTGAGGTAGTTTTTTAACGATAAACATGGTCTCCAACTATGAATTGTACGTCGTTTTGAGTATCTGCTCTAACTTTCGATAACATTTCACAAGCTTTTGTTCGTTCGTCTTTCGTAATTCTTCGAGCGTCGTGTAATAGCTTGTGGTTGAATATCGCTAATTGAACCTGTTCTTCTTGGAACTAGTCAGCCCCGTTCGTTCGTTTACTCCATTGGCTCACTTGTGGGGTAACCAAATGTATTTTTTGTCATATATATGAGCTGTTTTAGCAAAAGCTATTTTGCAAGGTGCATAGCCATATACCATCTTTGTATTATTAACTATGTTTGTTTCCGTATACAAATTGGAAGGCCAGTTGATTAACTCAGGTTCTAAATGTGTCAGTGCGGTTTTGATCATCTTTATGGTTCTTTCAGCTTTGCTGTTCCCTCGTGGATTATACACCGAGCTTTGATAGTATTTCAAATGTAGTCGCTTTATTTCTTGTTCGACTATTTCTGATCGAAAAGCTTGTGCATTATCCGTGATGATGGCTCTGGGTTTTCCAAACATGCTATATATTTGTAATATTATGTCGGTGACTGCATTGGAGTTGGGCGAAAACAGGGGTTTCGTAATGGTAAGGTTGGACGTATAATCTACTGCAATTATGAGGTATTGATAGTGGTTCCAAGTTTTTAAGGGTCCTGCAAAATCGAAATGCCAGCGGGTTAATGCCGGTGTTATTTTCATTTTTGGAAGTTCGACTGGTAGATCAACAAATCGTTGATAGATCTCACAGTGTGAACAGTTTCTGATTACATACAAGAGTATAACAGATATTAAAGAGTCCAGTATTTTTCTGGGATCATCATCTGTTCCAATATTCTGTGGTTGGCATGGAAAGCATTAAGGAGTGAAGTGGCTTTTTCGATATAGTGCACATCAGTAAGTATATGGTGGAGTTGGTCATGGTAGATGATGTAGAAGTTATTATTGACCCATGTAAAGATATGTATTATGTTCTGATATATGTTAGGGGTAGGTAAATGTTCTCGAGGGATTCGTTGGATATCCAATATTTGGGACCAAGATAGGTTGCGAACATCATTTATAATGTTTGGTATGTTTTCACTAGTTTCTGGGTCAATGAGGTCATTGGCTTGTTCGTGTGATTCGTCAGTAGCCTCTGGTACAGGTTCGGGAGCAGTTTGTTCGGTTAAGGTTGGGGAACCTTCACTAGGTTGATCGGAATGAGTAGTTGTATTGAGTTCAATCTCAACGGAAAATTTGTCCCATTTGTCTAGGTTTAAGGTAGGTTGAGAATCTAAACCATACCTGCTGAGGTAATCTGCGACATGGTTGTCACTTCCTTTGATGTATTTCCAGGTTAACCGGTAGGTATTTAGTAAATCCAGATACTTGGTCAATCTTGGGTGTGTGACTCTTTCAGTTTTTCCAATACTGATTATACCTTGGTTATCGGTATATATCGTAATACTGGAGGATAAAATAAGTCGGGCCTTTTCGAGTGTGTGAAGTATCGCCCATAGTTCACGTTCGACGGTAGAGTAACGTTGTTGCGCTTCAGTGAAACGAAGTGAGTAGAAAGCAATGGGATAAAGTGCAGCTTTACCATTTGTAGTTTCAGGTTGTAGAAGAATTGATGCTGCACCTATAAGACTAGCGTCTGCATAAATAACAGTTGGTGTCTGTGGGTCAAATAATTTCAAGGTAATGGATTTTAATATCGCCTGTTTGATTATTTGGAAATTGGTTTTCATCGCTTGTTGTAGTTATGGCTTTTCCTGAGTAGTGATTTTGTTGGTAGAAAATTGGTAGAAGGGTGACAGTAATTGAGATGCATTAGGTATGAAGTTTCGTAGAAAATTTACAAAACCGGTGAATTTCTCTATTGCCTTTTTGCCTAAAGGTAAAGTCCATTTAGCAATCGTAGCTTTCTTTTCGCTATCTATAGCTAGATGGTTATGTGATATCTCGTAACCGAGGAATAGAATTTTGGATTCAGCGACATGAATTTTTTCATAACTTAGTGATAGGCCATGTTGCTCTAGAAGAGCCATGATGTGTTTCAAAGTAGAATAGTGGTCGTCGATGGTAGAAGATGCAATGATAAGGTCGTCATAGTAATAAGCTACTGTGGTGTCCTTAGATTGAGGTAGAAGTTTCAGAAGGTTTTGAATAAATTCACCCCACCAATAGGGACCTGAGGCTAAACCGTATGGTAACCTGTTGAACTTGTAGCTTCCAAGTTCGGTTATCAATCCCAGTTTATCTCCTTTTATGGGTATTTGTTGGTATGCTTTCCTTATATCGAGTGAAGAAAAAATAGTCTTGTTCGCGAGATTAGAAAATATATGCTGGATGGGTGGAATTGGTCTAGGAGTATATAATAGATGCTTGTTGACTTTTCTAAGATCTGTGATAACTCTGATCTTATCTTTAGTTTGTTGTATAGGGAAAACAGGGCTAAGCGCCACTAATTCATCTGTAGCGATCGGAGATATCATCTTCGATTCTAGAGATTGATTAATGAACTGTTCAATCGCTTGGCGTTGGAGTTGATTGGTGAAATAGGCTTTGGGTTTATGGTATGGAAAATTGTTGAGTCTCACGAAAGCAACATATTTATGTTTTGTAGAAATCGTATTTTTGTGGTTTTCCTTGAATACTATTGGGTATTCCTGTTTCAATTTCGCCTTGAGGTTAGTTTCTTGTATGATACGTATGTGAGCTTCAGTTGGTTGTGATAAGTTATGTGGGATAATTACTCTCGTTCCTTTAATTTCGATAGAATTGTAATCCTTTGCCAGTTGATATTTGAATGTTTTCAATAATGGTTTTCCAAAAATGATATGAGTACGGTTTTCAGGAATGATATAGAAAGGTTTTTCTGTATACGATTCGTTCACATGTATTCTGACCATTGCCTGTTTCTTGATTATGTTTTGCTTACCGATAGCGGGTTTTACAACTATTGGCGGACATTCAATTATATCAGATATGGTAAAACGTATATTGGGAAAGGTTGTATGTCTGTGATCGACAATAGGTTGATAGATGAAATTTGCGTCTGCCCCAGTATCTAGAATTAGGTTAGGTTGTTGGTTATTATGAAACTCCATATTAGTATTATTTAAGCGGAGTGAGTTGACGTGAATATAACTTTCGTTATCACTGGATATATAGTCTGAGTAGTCCTCCGCAGAGTTGTTTAGAATTTCATTGGCTAATTCTGGTTCGGAATCGGATTCGTTGGTTTCGTATGATTTAGTAACTTGGGATTGTTGGAAATGATAATTTTTGTTGTCAAATTCCTCATCCATATCTTCTTCTGAATCGGGAATTTCGATATTATTAATATTGAACTTCTTTGTTCCGTTATGGATTTAGATTTTTGTCGGTTTTGATAGTAATTTTGCTTCCTATCAGCACACTGGTTACAAGAACAATTTAAACAGAAACTTGGTTTCGCATTGTGTGATTTGTCGATATTGCTGCACTTAGTACAGGTACAATTTGTGCAATAGAATTGTGTTTTGTTTTTATTTTGATATTTTTTATTGTTTTTATAGTTGTTTTTATAGTTGTTTTTATAGTTGTTTTTGTTTTGATATTGGCTTATAGTAAAAAAGTTTTTGGTTTCAGTTTTTGTATTTTTGTAAAGTTGATCCTCTGGTAAAGTCTCATTAATATATGTTACAATGTCTTCATAGGTATTGAAGTCAGAAAAAGTAGGCATTTTTATAGTAGGAAATTGTTCTCTCATGATTGTTTTGATTTTCTTTAATAGGATTTGAAATAAATTTGCAGATCTGTTTTCACCCGCCATTTCAGTTAGTTTCAGCATAAAGATGGTAACATTTTCACTATCAGTCAAAACGCGGTTAACCAATTTATCTTCTGCCTGTGAAGCAGCTCTTTATAAATTAAAGTATCTATATATGATTAAAATACAGTTTTTCAGCTAATGATCTTTCCTCTTGCATCTTTTAAGTGGTATGTAATACCTTTCTTGCAACAAAGGGAGAAAAACCTAATCCAGTCACTATACTTGATTCTTTTATTGACAAGCGCTTGTTGGATTTCTAAAATAGCAGCGGTGTTGTCTTTTGTAAATATATTGTCAATTCTCATAGAAGTTGTAGGTGTCAGAGTAGCGTCAACGAAACTTTTATGACATTCCAAAGCGATTTGATTATCTTCAACCATTATGATTGAAGGGGAGTGTTTTTCTATTTTGTTAATAACAATTTTTCCTTTTGTTGTTGTTCATCAATAGCAATTCTCCTCTGACTTGGGTTTCCTGTTGTGCAATCAATTTTCCCACTTCATTAATTATTTTTAGTTTCAATTCTTGCAGATATAATGACAATTCGGTAGTAACTCCCACTCTAAGGTCTTCTAATTCCTCTTCCTTTTCCTTTTCCTCTTGTTTTAACTTGGATTTTGAAGCTTGCTCTTCCAGATCGATAAACGCTTCTAGTTGTTTTCTTTCTAGTTTCAATTCTACTCTGGGTTCCTTAGTTTCCATTTTAAGTTTATCTTTGTCCAGTTGGAACTTGTTAAACTTAATTGATGCTTCTTTTAGATCCTTTCTTTCTTCATTATCCTTTGTTTTTAGTTCCAGCAATTTATTTGCTAAATCGTTGTTCTTTGAATTCAAGAGGTCTAAGCTCTGCTGAATCTGAGCCCGATATCTGATATCCTCTTCTTGTTGAATATCCAATTTTTTGTTACTTACTTCGTAGTTAGTATCCAGCTTTTTGTTAATCACTTCGTGGTTAGTATCCATTTTAGCCTTTATTGCCTGGATTGAGGCTTGTAAAGCCTTGATTGAATTTTCCATTCTGTCTTCTGACATTTTTGCTTAAGGTTAAATAAGGTCTTTGCTATTTTGATAGTGTTTCTTATTTAGTTGATCGCCAGAGTGTTTAGGTGCTTGATAAAATAAGTATTTTGTATTGTTTGATCTGGAATATTGAATATTAAGGTATTAAGTATTTATCTAGGGAAACAAGCCGTAGAAGTCAATACTTAAGGTTATTAGTTATGAGCTCTATGAATTATCAAACTATTGTAATAACTATACGGTAGTATTAAATATATAAAAATCTGTATGGTCTTCTGTTTAATATCAAGAAGTATATATCTTTACTGCAGGAATTATGTCCTTTATTTACGTTGTGTTATCAATTGATTAACGTTATTGTGACTTAAACATAGGTGGTAAATACTTTTCCCTTATTACTGTCACTTTGTACACATATTGTATCAATACTGTCTTGATTTACTAGCATTTGTTAAACTATTAGCTATTATTTAAGTGTAGAGTCAAATTGGTTTACGTTTGAATAAAGACAGATGTGTGTATTCAAGGGAATCTTGATGTAGAGATCTGTAAGATAAAGTAAATATACTGTTAATTAATAGTCTTGTTGATTGATCTGTTATGTACAAGTTAACATACTAAATAATATAACAACAATCTCTTTTAATAGCAGTATTAATAATATGTTATAACGTTAGTTATCAAAGGCTAGTACGAAGTAATACCATCATAATACTTAAGAACACAGATATAATAGCGTCATAAAAAATACAAAACATTGTAATATAGTGGAGGGTTATATAATCCTTGATGTGATCTGTTAGAATTATGAGGTGACACGTGAGCTAGACGCATCAGAGCATTATTCGTAAAGGATAAAGAAATATTACTCTACATGAAAGTGTTATCTCTGACGTTAAAACTTTTCCAACACTGTATATAAGAAATGACGAGACCTTAACTGACACTTGCCATATTAATTATATTCCTATGTGTATATTTGTCAACTTGGTAAGAGCTTTACGCGTTAATGAGAGTAGATATACGTTAAATAGGCATTTTGACCTATTACTGAGGTCAATGAGTGTTAACTCGCTCATCGTCTTGTAAACGAGTAGTCTATATAACAAAAATGGTTTTATAAATTGGAACTGAGAATTTGTTCCCTTTATATAATAGAGGAATCGATACATTCGTCTTGTATGAAAATCAGCAAAAATGACATGAACTCTATCCTCGACTATCAAGGTTGAAGTCACAACACTTAAATGAAATTTTGCTATTAACTGTGTTATAACCCGGACTTATCTGTTGTAATATGTTCGATACAATCAGTCTTGTCTTTATTGTGAACACGGGACAAGTATGTAAGATAGTTGACGATCTCAAGCTTCTTAGCCTTGGTCTTCTATATAAACTATAAACGATATAGAAGACAGACTATATACTCGGGACTGCACCCATGTTCGCTTTATATATCTGAGGTCCGGTGAGTAAGGGGTAACAACCCCTTGAGATTCCTTCGGATCCTTAGGTTACCCTTACATTGTTTATGTGACATTCATTCAGCGGCTGCTGATGATAACACTGTCTTAGTTCCATCTTTTCCTACAACATTATCAGATTATCACAATTAACCCAAATCTCCTTAGAACAAAACTGTTGTAATGTAAACCCTTGCAGTGTGTGTCACTTGTTCACAGTATACAACTTATCTTCTTATACCTAAATGACATCTATATAAGGTGTAATTAATATACTTATTTATGTTCTCAACCTTTAGCTATTTATATACTTTTCTGTTGAAATTGTTGATCATTTTTAATAGGTGACATATTTATTAAATTGTATTTCTCCGTGAGGATTTTATATATAATATAAAACAATAATATAAATATGTAAAGATAATCTTGGAAATCAAATGATCCTAATCTTGAGATTAGTGTCCGTATTTATACGTTTAATCTTCAATCTCACAATCTTATAATTACTAATCATTTATTCTAACAATTCCTTGCACTCTCACTCAAGTATTTTAGTTTATTGGTAATTTACCAATAATATTCTTTTTATTTTCTTTCTAGAATGTTCAACAGTATTGCAAACAATCCATAATCTGATTGTTAGTAATTACTTGATTAGTTATTGTATATCATATTAATAAATTGATTTATGTTACATTATCATAGATATATCTATGACGTCATGAACATCTTATCAATTAGTCACGTGTGAGTATAAATATGTATTATTTGGCCTGTAATTATTATTTGTTTGTATGTTTAAATTGGTATACGTTAGAATGAAGGCTGGTAGACGTTTATTCTATAGGATCTTAAGGGTTGAGATCTGTAAGTTAAAGTAAATATACTTGTTAATAATAATAAAGTTCTATATCTATATTTTATGTACAAAATAAGATACTAAATAATATACAATAATATACAATAATGTACAATGATCTCTTTAAATAGCAATGTTAATAGCATGTAACATCATTCTTGTAGTGACACATATTTCTTCACCTTCAAGGTTCGTATGAAGTAACCTCGAAGTAGTCTCGAAATAATACAAATAAGGAACATTCTGGAACCTTCTAGGTCAGAACATTTTCCTTGTGTCTCATTCTCTTTATTGTGACACTAGCAATCTTGTAACCCGGATCTCTCAGATTATCACACGCATCAACTAACGCTTTACAGAAAAAAAAACTGTACAATTTTATGGTCCTATAGTGTAGTGGTCATCACTTTCGGTTTTGATCCGGACAACCCCGGTTCGAATCCGGGTAGGACCTCATATTTTTTGAACTAATCTTCATTTATTTTTGACAGTTTATTCCATATGGTACCTAAATTCAACAATAGGTGCTGAAAACAGTCAAAATATATCGATATTATAAATATTAGCACCATCATCATATTTTAATAGTATAGAACTACGTATCCCTCTTAAATTTATTGCTTAGTATTTAATATATCACTAGTAAAGAATAACCGTTACCCTGCATTTATTTTAGGTCACGTGGTCAAATCACCAATTTTTTAAAGGAGAAAAAGCCTGATCAATCGAATACTCAGCGAAATTTGATATTTGAGATAGAAATGAATAACAAACTACAAGGTGTATAATATTAATATTAAAAAGCTTAACAATAATTCTTCTGTGATAAGAAGAGATCTATCGAAGAACACTCTCTGTCTTACAGTGAACTATTTATTAGGACGTTTGCCTTTTTCTGAATTCAAAGTTCCTTTCGAACCGTGAACTTCAATAATTGACATGTCAGATCTGGAGGAAATACCGGTTGATTCAACTGCAGCCTCTATTGTTTCTGACAATGTGCCTGGTACCCCTGGTGATGTAGATGCTGTCGATGGCAGCTCAACAGCTGCCATTAAAAGTGCTGGTTCTGGTCTTAATGACTCTGCCGAAGAATCAAATGATACCAATAACTTAGACACAGAGGAAAACAATGATAATGAAGAAGAACAAGAAGAAGAGGAAGAAGAAGAAGACGACGACGATGAAGACAACGATGAAGACGCCGATGAAGACGATGACGAAGATGAAGATGAAGATGAAGATGAAGATGAAGATGAAGATGAAGATGATGATGATGATGATGATGAAGATGATGATGAGGATGAGGATGATGAGGATGAGGATGAGGATGAGGAAGAAGATGATGATGAAGAAGAAGAAGAAACTGAATCTAATGAAAGTTTAAGTGTAAATAATAACATTCCTGATGCTATGTCCGGGGCCAAAACGGCAAACGTAAAGTCTACATTTGGTCTGGTAAAGGACACTCTAAAAGAAATCATTGAAAATAAAGATATGAAGAAATCAACCACTAATTTGAAGATTGTCGAAAGAACTTACACCAGAATGGAAGAAGTGTTAGCTCAATCTAATAACGATCCCCAATATTTGGATTCTATCTTGGTTTTTGAAGCTTTAAGAGCTGCATGTAGGACAAATTCTACAAAAATTCAGTTAAAAGTTCTAGATTGTTTATCAAAATTGTTTTCCTTCAGATCTTTAGATGAAGGCATTTTAGTCAATCCACCTGATTGTCATGCGACAAATGATCAAACAGAAGAAGATAATGGAATCACACCACCTCCAAAGCAAAAATTAATCGATGCTGCCATTGATACAATTGCTGACTGCTTCCAAGGTGAAAGTACAGATGAAAAAATTGAATTACAAATAGTCAGAGCATTATCAAGTTGTATTTTGGTCGAAGATGCTGATTCATTATGTCATGGTGCATCTCTATTGAAGGCTATCAGAACAATTTATAATATCTTCATTTTCTCATTGAGTTCATCAAATCAAGGTATTGCTCAGGCAACTTTAATACAAATTGTAAGCTCTATTTTTGATAAGATAGATTTGAGTAAATTGCCACCAGAAGAGTCAGCCATAGTCACAGCTACTCTCGCATCTACTAAAGATGAACAGACTTCTGATGAACAAGAAATTGTCAGTGAAGAACTTAAGATAGATGATGTATCTGTATCTCAACCTCCATTGACCTTAGAAACAATGGATAAAATTAGTCCTGAAAATGAAGTAAGTGCCGATATTCCTGATGAACAAGATTCAATGGATACTGATGGAACAACTACCGAACAAGAATTAGCTATCAAAGATGCATTCCTTGTATTTAGAGCAATGGCAAAAATATCTGCAAAACCATTGGAAGCAGAATTAGATATGAGATCACATGCTGTAAGATCTAAATTGTTATCTCTTCATATTATTCATTCCATTATCAAAGATCACATCGATGTTTTCCTTTCTCACACTGCATATTTACCTGGTAAAAACCGTGTTAATTTGGTTGATTCAGTTAGACAGTACCTATGCCTTTCATTGGCTAGAAACGCTGCTTCACCAATTTCTCCAGTTTTTGAAATTACCTTGGAAATTATGTGGCTATTGATCTCAAGTTTAAGGGCTGATTTCAAGAGGGAAATACCGGTTTTCTTAACTGAAATTTATTTCCCTATTTCTGAATTAACTACTTCAACTCCACACCAAAAGAGATATTTCTTGAATGTTATTCAAAGACTGTGTAACGATCCTAGAACTCTGATAGAGTTTTATTTGAATTATGACTGTAACCCAGGTATGCCAAATATAATGGAATTGATGATAGATTATTTAACAAAGTTGGCATTAACAAAGGCAGAAGTATCCTCAACTCAAAGGGCCCATTATCATGAAAACTCTTCTAAACCTTTGGCAACATACGATTTAAGTCAGCTACCTTTGCTTTCTATTTCCAATCTTTCGTCTACACCAGATGTCGCTCAAACCACTACATCTTTTCCATTAGATTATGCATTGAAAATTACAGCATTGGATTGTATAGTATCTGTTTTGAAATCTCTAAGTTCGTGGGCGCACAAAGCACTAAAACCGGTCTCCTCCATTTTGAATAATACAGGCTCTCAAAATAGAAACTCGATGATAACCTCTCCACAACATGAAAGGAAGCCTTCCTCTATTTTTAATTCAAATCATAGTATTACTAGTTCTAATATTGATGGAAATGGGTCGTTTTCTAATCAATCTCAAGATGTCGATGATCCAACTCAATTTGAGAATTTGAAACAATTGAAGACCCAACTATCAGATTGTATTGAAATATTTAATAACAAGCCTAAGAAGGCTATACCCGAACTTGTTAAGAAAGGTTTTATTCCAGACGACTCTCCAAAATCAATTGCAAAATGGTTTTTAGAGACAGATGGCTTAGATTTAGCCAAAGTTGGTGATTTTATGGGTGAACACGATGAAGCCAATGTTGCTGTAATGCATGCATTTGTTGATGAATTTGATTTTACGGGATTATCGATTGTAGATGCATTAAGGGAATTTTTGCAAAAATTCAGACTTCCAGGTGAAGGTCAAAAAATTGACAGATTCATGTTGAAATTTGCAGAAAGATATGTTGATCAAAACCCGCATGTATTTTCAAAAGCAGATACTGCTTATGTATTGTCTTATTCTTTGATTATGTTGAACACAGATTTACATTCATCTCAAATTAAGCACAAAATGTCTATTGAAGAATTTTTAGAAAATAACGAGGGTATTGATAATGGTAATGATCTACCAAAGGAATTCTTAATTGGATTGTTCAATGAAATTTCAAATAACGAAATTAAGTTATTATCAGAACAACATCAAGCTTTGATTTCTGATGATACTACTTTAGTTCAACAACAACAGCAACAACAATCAGCCTTTAACTTCTTTAGTTCAAGAGATTTGGTTAGAGAGGCTTATATGCAAGTTTCAAAGGAGATATCATCGAAGACCGAGTCAGTATTTAAGAATTTGAGCAAGTCTAAAAATGGTAAGTCGTTTGATATTTATTATGCTGCTTCTCATGTTGAACATGTTAAATCTGTTTTTGAAAACTTATGGATGTCATTTTTAGCCGCGTTAACCCCACCATTCAAGGAATATGATGATCTTGAAACAACCAATAAATGTTTGGATGGTTTGAAGATTTCTATTAAAATCTCTTCCATTTTTGGTATTGATTATGCTAAAAAATCATTTATTGGGGCTTTGGTTCAATTTTGTAACTTACAAAATCTGGAAGAAATTAAAATAAAGAATGTTAATGCAATTATTGTTTTACTAGAAGAAGCATTAGCTGAAGGAACTTTTTTTAAAGAATCTTGGAAAGATGTCTTATTAGTAATTTCACAAGTTGAAAGATTACAATTGATTTCCAAAGGTATTGATAGAAATACTGTCCCTGATGTTGCTCAGGCAAGAATCACTGGGCACAGATCTTCTATGGATTCTACTAGGTCTGCTGCTGCTGGTTCAATTTTCGACATGTGGTCTAAAAAAGCTACGCCAATGGAATTAGCTCAGGAAAAACATCATAACCAGAAGTTATCCCCTGAAATCTCTAAATTCATTTCGTCAAGTGAGTTAGTGGTATTAATGGACAATATATTTACAAGAAGTGGAGATTTACCAGGAGATGCTATAGTTGATTTTATTAAAGCACTAACAGATGTTTCATTAGAAGAAATTGAGTCATCACAAGATGCTTCTACTCCAAGAATGTTTTCATTACAAAAGATGATTGACGTTTGTTATTACAACATGGATCGTATTAAAGTCGAATGGTCTCCAATTTGGCAAGTTATGGGTAGTACATTTAACAAAATTGCGACAAACCCTAATTTAGCTGTTGTTTTTTTCGCAATTGACTCATTACGTCAGTTATCTATGAGATTTTTAGATATCGAGGAATTATCAGGTTTTGAATTCCAACATGATTTCTTAAAACCATTTGAATATATTATTCAAAATACTGGTAATATTGATGTACAAGAAATGATCATAGAATGTTTCCGTAACTTTATTCTAACAAAGTCTATGAAGATCAAATCTGGTTGGAAACCAATGTTGGAATCATTGCAATATACAGCCCAATCATCTAATGAGCGTATAGTGATGAAAACATATTCTTTAGTAAGTAATGATATTGTTGCAAACCATTTCGAAAGTGTTTTCTCCCAGGATGAGGCATTTGGTGAATTAAATAATGTATTCAGAGAAATTTCTAAGAACAAAAGGTTACAGAAAATGTCTCTTCATGCTCTTGAATCATTGAAGAAGACTACCCAAAAAGTTGCAACTATCTGTTTCTGTAAACCAGATGATCCAAATTATGAACATAATAAAGCAATGTTACGTGGTAAGGATATTTTCCAAGATATATGGTTCCCTATGCTATTTTGTTTCAATGATACAATCATGACGGCAGAAGACTTAGAAGTAAGATCTAGAGCTCTAAATTATATGTTTGATGCTCTTGTTGCTTATGGTGGGGAATTTGACGATGCATTTTGGGAAAAGATATGTACCAAATTGTTGTTTCCAATTTTTGGTGTTTTATCAAAACATTGGGAAGTCAATCAATTCAACAGTCACGATGATCTAAGTGTCTGGCTATCTACTACTTTAATTCAAGCTTTAAGAAACTTAATAGCATTGTTTACACATTATTTTGAATCATTGAACAAAATGTTAGATGGATTTTTAGGTTTACTGGTATCATGTATTTGTCAAGAAAACGACACAATTGCAAGAATTGGTAGATCTTGTTTACAACAATTAATTTTGCAAAATGTAACTAAATTCAAAGATACACACTGGGATCAAATTGGTGAAGTATTTGATAGACTATTCGAATTGACCACTGCTACTGAATTGTTTGATTACGATCCATTGCATCAAGGTAGAAAATCATCAGTTCCTAAAGTTAATAATAAGAAGGAAACTTCTATCAAGGAAGATAACGAGTCAGCCAATGAAAGTATCGATGAAACTGTAAAAAGAGCAAATCAAGAAGAATCCAGTGAAGATGTTGGCAATGACGTCGATACATCGAATCAAGAAAATCAAGGAAATGAAGATCAAGATAGAATTATTTCAGCTTCTCATGAAGATAATGCTAGCCTAAAGAAATCAGCTACTCATAAATCGAGCGAAGAGTTACGTCAAAGATTAAGTATCAAGAACTCCATTGTTATTAAATGTGTGTTACAACTGTTAATGATTGAACTACTAAGTGAGTTATTCGAAAATGAAGAATTTATTCACTGCATTCCTTATAAACAATGCATCAAAGTTACAAGTTTGTTAGAAAAATCCTACGATTTTGCTCGTGATTTCAATGAGGACTATGATTTAAGAACTAGATTGGTAGAAGCTCGTGTCGTTGATAAAATCCCTAACCTGTTGAAACAAGAAACAAGTGCAGCAGCTGTTTTGATTAACATCTTATTCATGATGTATTTGAATGATGATGAGAAAAAACCTGAATTAATCAAACGTTTGATCTCTATAAGTACTGCCGTAATCGAAGGCTATGTCAGCTTAGATGATAGAACCATGGAACGTAGTATCAAAACATGGCGTCCTGTTATTGTTGAAATTTTACAAGGTTACTATGAATTCGATGATGAAGATTTCCGCGTACATTGCCCTATCATGTACGGATTAGTGATGCAAATATTGGATAAAAGCGTTCCAACAGATTTAAGACAAGCAATCAAATTATTTTTAACTAGAGTAGGTGATCTATATCTATCTTCTAACTAGTTTCAGAATTCATCGTGTATCCTTATTGAAATTTATTTAACTATCTTTCTTAAATTAAATTATTGTGTATAATAAATATAATACAAATTAAAAAAACTTTTAAATATCCATATATTTTCTAATATTTGCAAAATATAATCCAATTATAGATCAAAGTATTGTATTCCCTAATGATTCACCAACTAATTTAAAGTGTTCTCAGTAACTGGTTTCGTATTACGAATATAATCAATTTCCATTTATTATACGTTACCATGGTTCTAGAATCGCTCTATGATTAAATCGACAGTTATCCGAATAAGAAGATTAAGTCCAGCCTTACTTTAAAATAAGGAGGATAAGATAGAACTAACAAAGTGGAATGCTAGTTCAATTTAACATTTTATAAGGAGGTATTCTAATATTCTACGTATTGAGAGTTGTCATTGACATGTTATTTTTGCAGCCAAGTAATTTATTGAATAGGCTTAAAACCTTTAGATATAAGAGCCCCTACCCTTTACCAACAGTTTATCCATCAGGTAGAAGATCTGTTGTTCTTATATTGTTGTTCATTGGTAGACAAGGTGATTTAAGAGTACTTTTAACTAAGAGGTCAAGGGGTCTTAAGTCATATTCAGGTCATGTATCGTTGCCTGGGGGTAAAGCAGATAGTGATTCAGAAACTGTTGAACAGATTGCAAGGAGAGAGGCTGAAGAAGAAATAGGATTACCAAGAGATCCTATTGTATTGAGGGATAAATATGGTATGGGGATTGAAAATGTATTAGTCGATATGCCATGTTATATGTCTACTAGTTTCTTAAGTGTCAAACCTTTAGTGTGTTTTTTATTTAATGATAGCAATAAAGATTCGAGGTATACAGAACCATTAAATGTAAATGATTTCTTTGGGAGGTTAAATCCTGGTGAAACTTCATCGATCTTTTCTGTTCCTCTTTCTGATTTATCCTGTCATTTATTTCCCAAGAATATTGATTATACCCCAGAATATGTTAATAGAAGAAGAGATATTGAAAATTGGGGAGGTTTAGATTTAAAAGTTTACCATTATAATTTCCCTACGGTGAACCCAAATGATGAAAATTGGCTTAATGACGTTATTGATACAAGCTCAGGTGATGAACTTGAAGATGGATTGAAGTGTCGAGATTGCTGGGGGTTGACGGCAAACATCATATATGATGTTTCAAAAATTGCCCATGGAATTATAGACTCATCTCCAGACAATGCACCTCAAATTGGATCTGAACCATTATTATATGGACTTTATGAACTTGGTGGTCAGTTAAGACCTGGAAAGAGAAGTGACTGGGAATCAGGAATGATTACTTTTAGAAGGAAATTTAAGTACAGTGATGTTTTGCCAGCATTTTATCTTGATAAGTTAGAATTGAGATATGATTCTGAGCCAGAAGATGAAGAATAATGGTATTCAAAAATTACAACTATTTTAAGATCAGAAGTCTACAGTTGATCTAAATGCAACAATTAATTCAGTGAATATATTCAGTGGGACAAGGTTAGTTTTGAACTTCAATTTAAACAATTTCTTTATGAGAGAGAAAATGAGTAAAACAAAAGAAAAACGATTTATGTAGTTATATTTATATCTGTATATAGAAAGTATTTAATCAAGTTAAACCAGTGAAGGAAGGTTAGAGGTATCAATAGACGTATTTCTTTGTACAATATTTGTTGGTTTCTTGGGAGCCTTTTTCCTTCCAGGTCTTGAGGACCTTGGAACACTGTCAGAAAAGGTAAAGTTAATATCCAAGAATTCTTTTTCCTTTAAATTCTTGGACTTATGATGTTTCGATTTCGAAGGTTCAGTTAACAGTTGATGTTCTCTATTAATGACTTCTGCGTTCTCAACTGCTTCTACGTTTGTATGATACTGGTATTTCAAGCCACTTATATCTTTCTCTGTTTCCTCTTCTAACATATACTCTTGTAAAGACATCCTTTTTGGACCACCACCAGAACTTTCACCTTCAGTCTCCATTTCATGTTCAGATTCTTGTCTAGCGTCTTTTCTGGCATCTCTTTTGGCATCCAATTCATCATCAAATTCATGAGAAGGAGATCCCCATCCCATATGAATCTTCTTTGGAGTATCCATCTTACCAGTTCTCGAATGACGGTCCATTAGTTTCCTTTCATCTAACTGTTTTTTAGTCCCAGCTGACATTGGTACATTTCTCTCAACATTCCTTGACCTTCCAGCAGACCTATCCTTTAAGTAGGTTTCGTTCAATTTCGAAGGTAGAGTGGGATGTTTCTTTGCTCTTGTAGGATTTGAAGATGGAGGTGGAATATCCTTCTTCTTCGAAGAGTTAGAATTCTTTACCAATTCTTTGGGCATTGGGAAAACAAAGTTTGGATCTTCGATATCATTACCTAACAAATCATAAGGATTAGACATTTCTATTAATTTATTTAGTTATAATCTATATATTTTGAGCTATTGGTGTCTTTATTCTACAAGATGAATTTAAAAAGATAAAAATTTACTATCATGAATATAATAAACTTGCCATTTTCTTAATGTAAAACAATCTCAATATATTTCACAATATATATCAATAACTATTTAACACATTTGAATGAATATACCAAGGGATAAAGGGTACAATAATAATATCATGAAACACAATGTCATTTTAAAAGAAACTAGAACCAAGAACCAATAACCAAGGAGAAGCTAACTAACCAAGACTTAATCAAATAAACTATATATTTTGTGGTTTTTAGCAACGTCACTTGAGGTTCATCCAATCCGAGTCAACAATGTACCTTAAACAAATCAAAGCCAAACCTCATTTTATAAGGTCCATTTACCTAATTACAATCAAGTCCAACCTTCCTCTCGATGGATATTACCATATCTTTGACTGATGTCAGGTTTCACCTTGGCTTTACCAAAAGAGTGCTTACATTGAGTATTTACTGACGCAGACCTATTGGCATATGGTTGAGAGACTGCAAGAGAATTTATAAGAGTGATTAGGTATGGATACGTAGAATATGTATAATTTTAATATCGAATGTTGTGTTAGTGCAAGATTGTTTCATAATGCATTGTATGTAGTTATAAATATATTTTGCTAGTACTGTCAACTTGATTTGAGTTTGAAGATGGGATGAGGAGGGGGGAGGAAAGAGATGCATCTAATACTAGTTTTATTGAAAGAACAAAAAGTATTGATACATATATAATAAAAATAAGAGTATCCGTTATATAATTGATAGTCTCCATTGTGTTCATTAGAGAGTGGAAGGTAAAGTTGAGTTGGATTGGGTTAGGTATTGTATAGATGAGGAGTTGAGTGTGATGACGTACATGAATTGTTCAGTCACGTGACATACCAAAAAACTGGGTAACACACGTTGTTGGAAACCCCGGACAAGGAAATTCCTTTAAAATGAATTGAATGTTTAAAAGGACTCTTTATATTAGGATGATTAACGTTATTAAAAAGAAGTTTGTTGATCATGTTTAGATGGTTTCATATTAATAATACTGTCAATAGACAACTATCTGAGCACAATGAATAATGAACAAGAGGTTACAATCAAAGTAGAGCAGCTTTCTAGGTTACTTTTAAGCAATGGACCATTAGCTATTCGTTATATTAACAACTATATATCGGGTCAAGACCCTAATTTTAAGAAACTTTCTACTTCCAAACAGAGAAGACTTATATTGAATGTATTACAAGCTGGGGATAAAGATAAAAGTGTAATATTTGAAAAGATTGGATGGGGTCTTTGGAATGCAAAAGTAGTCAAACCTGAAGATTTTATTAAAGAAAGAGAAGCCATGAATATAGCTAATGCGAAAGTGAAAGATGAACATCGCAAAAGTAGTAATGATAAACATGTATTATTGCAACCATCAAAGACAACTTATATTGACGAAAATGCATTAGCTTCTGATGATGAAGATGATGAAGTCTCTGGTACATTTAATGACACTGACGATATTCTTCTAAACTACGATGACATTTACTCTCAACGATCAAAGAAAACTGCCAATTTACGTCGTACCAGCGTAGTCTCTGTAGAATCACCTCCTGAATCGTTGAAACATGAGATTCTAGCTCAACAAAAATTAAAGCCATTTATGAAATCTCATCGGAAATCATCAACTTCATCTCCCCAACCAATCACTGGAGAATCAAGAAGAGAGTCAAGATTATCAGTATCAAAAGAATCTTCCATAAGATCCACACTTCTCCCAAATAACAAGAATTATCAATTTTATTCAAAAAAATCAAACGCCAGCAATGATGATAACCTTATTAAACTGAACAACCAAATCAGTAATAATGACAGTATAAATAGCAATTATCAAGAAGAACCATCGGCTCTTTCCGATACTGATGAAGAAGATTGGGCTTCAATAGGAGCACAATCATTAAGAAATACTCAAAGTCCAATTATAAGACCAACTAATCCATCAAAATCTAAAAAATCAACAGATGATAGTGCTGCTTTACTCCTACTAAGCTTAAAGTCTTGATTATCATGACAATTGCCCATCCCTCCTCTCCTTCCCTCCTTTTTTGCAGGCAACTACTCCTTCACTAAGGATTATCTTTTGAAACACCTGTAAGTCATGTGATTACACAAACCACGTGATTATACGATGATTCAAGGGGTACAAAACTCACAATTTCGAAATTATAGCAATGAACCACAAGATACCACAAGTAATACGATGTCTGACTGATGTTGTTGATTGAACCAAACTAGACTTCAACTTATATTTTATATCAAAAAGGAACAATATTATAGCAATGATGTTGGTATTCAAGAGAAATTAATGGTTAGTTTCAGTACCTCAAAAGAGTTCAGAACGGTTGATAGGGTTCTGCTTTATTTGATCAAGCACAATCTAAAAAAGGGTGGCATTTTTTTTCTCTATTTTAAATATACTTGAGATAAAGAGTTAGAATAGGTCTCTACTTTCATAAAGGTATACTGAATAAAGCCTTTTTTCCAATACGGTTTTGTTATTGTTTGTTATTAGGTTTTTAGAATTATTTTCTGCTGCTGGTTGGTCAAAAAATAAGCTATTATTAATACATCTCTTTTTTTTTGAACAACGTTAAATTGCATTTTTGCTTTACAAAGGATTTATTCTTCGTCCTCTCTCTTTTGTTTTTTGTTATATTATTCTTAATTGCGTGAGACTATAGTTATGTCCCCTTATTGTCATATATAGTATTGATTTATTATAAGAGCAAACGTGTGATATAAGTAAGTTTAAATTTATTTTTATTACAAAAAAACATTATTCATATTCAATACGAGAGGCTTCATAATTGAAGGTTCATCGAGTTTGTAAGTTCCTAATAAAAAAACTGTTTCAATATTACAAAAACTCATACAGGATAGGACGACATTGAAACACAATTACATCAATTCTTTTATGAACAATTAATTATACACAAATTAAAAAAGACAAAAAAAAATATATTCATATATTAACGTATCTAAGACATTGACAATTGATTTAAATTATTAACATTAAGACATTTACCTATATATATTTAATTTTTTTTTTCACAACCAATCATAGTACACTTCCAGCCAAACAAATAATAATTCAAACATTTTCACATATCAAATATGACAATAGACCGTACAGGCAATGATAATGATGCTCTTGACGACGAGAAGTTCAATACGGGGTCGGATAAGGTATATCAAAATTACATGATGCCAGGATTGGAACTTTTCGACGCAAAAGTAACCATTAACCATTGGCAACTGCGAGATTGTGTAAAGCATTCTACTAGTAAACCAGGCAAAATTTACTACGTTTATGATCATTCAATAAGGGAACTGAATATGAATCCTAGGTATATGAAGCACCTTGGAAATTCAAGTCTTATAAAGAAGAAATTAAGAAGAAACAGTACAAATACAACTACTAAAGATAAAAAATATTTATCTTCAAATAGATTGATTTCAGAGTTCAACACCCCTTCTAATTGCGTTGTTGATTTTAATTTCAAGCCAAGGTGTTTTACTGAATCAAATGGCTTAATTGCATGCGGCGGACTAATTGGTCCTGATGACAAGGGCTTTCCTACCAACTGGAGTCGACTTTCTCATGAAGTTAACAATGGTGTACAGCTGCCGCCTCCTGCCTCACCAATAAAGTTGTCTAATAGTTCAGTTTTGCAGGATCATTCAAACTATAGCAACCAAAACCTATGGAAAGGCATCTTATCAATCCATAATACTGAAACAGGAGTTTCTCAATCCTTAATTATGGGTCAATTTATAAATAATTGTGTCACAATGCATTCAAAAGGAAATCAAGAAGTTGATCTGTATTCTTGTAACAACGATAATCACATGTACCAATGCAACATAAGTAACAGAGGTGTAGAATTGGTAAGAAGATATTCAGATTTGAAATTTGCGTTAAACAACGTAGCGTTATCAAACGATGCCAGTTTAATGGTTATTTCTGGTGATTCGAATAAGTTTGCCTTATATAGAAAAAATGAAATAGACGGTCAATTTTCCTTATCTTATGACACTCAACCACAATGGGGGAATTCTACTGCAAGAGTAGAAAGAATTCCAAGATTTGCATTACCAGATAATACATCTGCAGTAGACCATATTTATGAAGCTCCAAATTCTGATCATGGTTTTTATAGCAGCTTCTCAGAAAATGACTTACAGTTTGCAACTTTATTTCAGAATGGTGTATGTCTTTTATATGATGTGCGAAAAATGTCAAGTCCACTAGCTGAAATAAACTCAACAAGACCATACTCTCATAGCGGAGCTTTTAGAGTTTGTAAATTTAGCTATGGCCTGGATGACTTATTATTTATTTCGGAACATCAAGGCAGAGTTCATGTTATTGATACAAGAAATTTTACTAACCATCAAGTAATAATGATACCAGATAAGTTTAAAGAGGATAATATAAGGAAACATAACATTGATACTGATATTAGCACAGATATTAGGCGAAATACAGCTAACATATCATCTGTTACCGGAATAACTTCACCATTATCGACTCCTTCTTCGTCAGCTTTAAGTTTTGCTTCTTCATTAAGGAGAAGATATTCCTTTCCTACTCCCACCCCAGTTGATAACACAGATAATTGTATTACGTCAGCTAGAAGTGTTCCATTGAAATATCTTGAACCTAGAATAATGCCATACCCTAAAATTGCAAATAGATCTACAAATGAGTATAACAATACTCAGTATAGAGGGTTATTATTATGGGACGACTCTGAGGGAAATAATAGAAGAAGAGAAAGGAGATCTTCATTTAGGGTTAGAAGAGTGTCAACTTCATCAAATACTTCAAATTTTTCTGAAAATAATGAGAATGTTGACCCAGAGATTTTAAATCCTGTTGAAGATGAACAAGAAAATTCAAATAATGAACCATATAGTACAAGAGATATAAACGCTACAATCGAAAGTCAAATAGGGAGGAACAGCAATAATAACATTTTCATTGAAGATGATATTTATGGTATAGACAGTAGCCTATATATTGTAAGAAACGGCCTCCAATCCCCATCACCTTTTGCCAGAAGACCAGGAAATTCTTACTTAAATTCACAGAGCAATAATTCATCAAGAGAGACTATTATAGAATATTCAAGCATTGAGTTCATGGAGGAAAATAATATTTCTGGTTTGGATTGGCTCGAAGATGTAGAAGGAAGTTCTTTGGTAATCGGAACTGACTATGGTATAATGAAATGGAACATAAATTCCTGGGCCAGAAGGAGTTTTGCGAGTTACGATTTCTGTTAAGTTTAGATAATTTTAAAAGATTTATAGTTTATTGATTTATTATAAGCCCGGAATTTTATAGTACGTTTTAATTATTAATATAGATGCAATATATAATGTTTGTTAAATGATTTATAAATATAGTCGTGGAAAAACAGATTACAATTTCTCATCAAGTTGGTAATTTTACGATGGACATAATAAGTGCTAATTTCATACCTGCTGTTCTTTTAGATGGCCCAACTCTCCATTTCTTGGTCGTTATCCAGAACACCCCCATCTATCTTATTGATGAGAATATCACTACAAAGTGGACATTTTTTTGCTAGTAGGCTATCTAATTCATCAGTATGAGTTTTTGAATTAGATTTGAGAAGTTTTCGTTGTAATGAATCAACTTGACTTTTTATGATTATATCATTTGACCCAACTAGTTCAGAAAGCAAACAGTTTGAATGAAAATTATGACCACAGGGGAAAACGAAAAATTTCTTCGTTTGTAAAACTTTATGACATCTGTCGCAAGAAGAACCAGGTTCCAAAATCTCATATCTTTCTTTGAAGTCTTCTATATCTTTCAAGATATCCTGCTTCATCTTCATTGACAATTTCGTTTCTTCAGCAATTTGTGCCATTGATTGTCCATGTTTTTCTAGACTTCTTATCAATTCATCTTTAACATTTGCAATTGTAGTAAACTGTTCGAATAATGGTAATAAGTCCTTAATTTCCAAGATACCATTTGATTCTGTTATAATTTGGCTAATAGTATGTTTAATATCCTGACTGCCTGCAGCGTCGTTTAGAATTGATTTTGCCACATTTTTCCATAGTTTCTTTGTCAATTTAGGGTTATACTCCAGTTCGATATTTTCTATAACTTTCTTCGCATGATCGGTCATACCATTTTCTAGAGCCAAATCAACGGCATCTTCATATAATTCTAATTTTGAATATAGGAATATTGATACTACTAAAGTTTCAAATTTAAGACTTAACCTCAGTATAAAATTTGTGTCGTATCTTTCAGGATACATACTTAAAAATTGAACAATTTGTTCCTCCTTCTCAGGCCTTTTCTTGGAACTTCTAAGACCAGTAATCATCATATACAAGATTGTATTGTATAAGATTGTATCCTTAGTATTATTTTCTTTGATATACCATTTTAAATATGTTAGTCCAAAGTTTTCCTTTATAGTTTCTGCTTTCTGTACTGCTGAAGATTTGCTGTAATGCGAATAATATGTTAATATAGAAGGAATCAATTTAACCGGATCTATGGATTTTAATGACATCCAAGTTCTAATCGTTGTTTCAGGTAAATTTACCAATAATACACTTGCATACTTATAAATAAGCTCAGCATCCTGTAATTGTAGCAATACCTTAAGAGACTCGTACCAATTTTCTTGTTTAATCCAATAGTCTAAAATGAAATGACGATCTTGTAGTAAATTAGCGAAGTACAACAGTTCTGTTATTCTATTTTGTGTTTCTAGCATCTGATATACTAAACTCTTTTCTAAACTGGTTTTGTATTTTTCCAAAAATAAGTTTAAACTATATTTGAGTGTTTGCATTTCTTCCTTTAACAGATCAAGATGCGTTGTTACTCTTTCAGAATCAATCTTTTTATCTATTATATTCATCTTCTTCAAATATGTCCATAGAATCCAACTCGATAACAAAAGTTTTTGAACATCATCATTTTTATCTAATTGTTCTAATTTTTGAGTTAAAAAAATTTGTAGGGAATCTACATTATTAGTCGTTTTCATCAATTTCAATACCACTGCACTAAAAGATTCACAAGATGTTAAACCATAGTAATGCGCTGCCTCTAGAAATTTTTCCTCATCAAATAGATCGTTTGCTTTGAAGTCCAAAATTGTATCTCTTTGCCAAGGTTCTAAATCTTTCAGTTCCAAAGCTTTATCAATTCTTTTTTGTTCGCATAATAATTTCCAAACTGATTGTGATTCTTTTTCTAATATGATTTCATATATATTAGAACTCGAGTAACACCAGTAAGTGGGAGGGCTTTGTGAATAGTCCGCCTCTAATCCAACTATTCTTTCGTTATCTTTACCCCAGGTAGATTCCTGAAAAACGACTTCGTTATTTAATTGATTGACAACAATTAAACTAGAACCTCGAAGCAAAATCAAATAAAAATCCGTTAGAGAAACGTCTCGAACAGTAGAAGTTGATTCTGATAATTCTACATTCAACAATACATTTGCATTTTGTAAAATCTTCCCATTGTTCTGTGGAACAGTCTTACCAAATACGATGACATCGCTCATTATACATGCAAACTGATCTTTTGTAGAGCTAAATCTATTTCCCACATCTTTTGTCAAACACTCGAATTCCTCAGATTCTGTAGGTTGAGGGTTTTCCTTCAAAGTTTTAATTGGATCATTTGAGATAGTCTTCCAATACATAAGTTTATTGCCTGAAGCAATCACACAGCTCCCATTGGAACTCCAAGAAATACCATCTATACGATCCGAACATTTAGCAACGATAGTTAAAGTATTCTTACTCCTATCATGAGAATTTAACGTTAAATAATAGACATGACCCTCAATATCACCGAGTAAAAGAGAATCAGAATCACACCAACAAACTGATTTCAAGTTGCAACCTTTCTTAGATAACTTTCGTATTAAAATTAAAGACTCACTGTTGTCTTTCTTAACATCAGTTTTACCAGAAACAAATATCTTGGAAACATCACAGACATAGTATTTAGCAAAATTAGTCTTAATAAACAATAGATCCCCACCTGGATTCATCCAAATCTTAACAAGCACCTCAGAACTATCACCTTCAGACAACATTGGAACAACATACCCATAAACTTTGGAAGGTGTCTCTAAATCAACCAAATAGAGTTCACCAGTTCTAAGGGCAAAACACATAATATTGTTTTGAACCTGTAGGCTGCAAATATTATCCTCATTTCCTTTAACAAAGTCCAATTGGACATGCTCAATGTCAACATTCATAACCGTATACAACCGACCTACTACAGTGCTCAACTTATATTGTTTTAACCATAAATAAATCTCCCTTCTATTAAACTATACTTCTTTTTAACTTTTAAATAATTTTTCACCTTTAAGTTCTTAAATATTTAAAATGCATCAAGATATTGATAACTTTAACCAGATCAGAATGAAGCCAGATTGGATAACCAGGAAGCAATTAGAGAGTTGATAATCATCTGTTGGTGATTGTTTGTTATTTTATTTTAAAATCCTGTTGTTTTCAGATCATGAGTAATATTCCTTTGAAGCTTTTGAGTGAGGCTCAAGGTCATGTAGTCACGTTAGAGCTCTCCACTGGTGAAACTTATCGAGGGAAGTTAGTTGATAGTGAGGATAATATGAATGTTCAACTACAAGATGTAACTGTTACTGGTGTAGATAGCAAGGTTTCTCGGATGGATCATGTTTTTGTTAGGGGTTCTCATATAAAATTTTTTGTAGTTCCTGATTTATTGAAGAATGCTCCTTTGTTTAATAAAGGTCCACAATCGAAACCACCTCCACCTATTCGTGGTCCAAGAAAGAGGTGAAAATGTGGTGAAGGAGTTGATAACATTGTCATTTTGCATGTCTTATATAGAAGAAGGAATGTGGAAAAAATAAATACACGTTAAAAGAATTTTATCTTCAGATGTATCTCAATTGGGCTCATTTACATATCTCTCTATATACTAACTATTACTATTGTTATTGGTATTATCATTACCATTTGTACATTATATATATTAGCATTTAATATGCGTTTGTAGTATAATATCAAAACTTCAATTATACACTTTTATCCAACCTAACAGTCCATACTTTCCCTTGCTGATTCTATTGTTCAAGAATATCAATCTGGGATCTGGAAACCAGGTATTAATGATTTCAAAAGCAACTAGGCTATTATAAACTCATTCATATAGTTCACACCTTCTTCCCCTTTGGTGAAGAACTTGCAAACTGGACATTTTCACTAGTTATATTGCCAACTTTTAGTAAACTATTATTTGCATCGTTATCTCTAATCCTACAAAACTCATCGATATCAATTCTGACCTGTCTATTGATATCACTGAATTCAGTAAACGTTTCATTTATCTCATGTTGTAACTCTAGACATTCATTAAGCAGCTTAGCAACGCCATCTTTATTCATTGAACCATCATCGGAAGAAATGCTGCTCTCATTTTTGATATTGCTCATAATAACAGGATAATAACCATAAATTACTAAATAAATATATCAAACCCAAGTATATCTTTTCTCTTGTTAATAACAATCTAACTCTACCTGTGCTTTCTTTCCAACAGCTACGTGTATCTGGTTGTAAAGTGTTTATAAGCTTTTATTTGTTAAGTATCGTTATTATCATATCAAGTAATAGAACCTCAATTTCTAATATACAAAAATTATATCAAATTTAATTACTGCTATATAATTACAATCTATGAATAATGTTCACCATGTTTTTTCAAACTTATTATGTTATATAATGGATACACTTCATCAAGTTCAACTTTTACAATCGAGTCTTCCTTAGAAAATGAATTAACAATTGATGTATTAAATTCATCTGATTGTTCCTCTTTAATTGAAAATGTGTTACTTGTAGTGTCCAATGCAATGAATTTAACGAAATCCTTATCCCCAGATTCACGATTGTCTAATGAAATATTGAAACCCATAGTTTTATCATCTGAGAATGTTGAGATAAAAGTAATGTAATATGGGAGTACAATTTTTTGCAATAACTTCATCTTATAAGTAGATTGGTCGACCTCTAATATGATTAAAAGTTTTGTAGCCTCTACAAAGAATGCAAAGTATGGATTATTTGGTAATGAAACTAATTTTGAGACTGCGAATTCCTTTAAATCATTTTCTTCATTTTGAAATCTATCTGGAGCCAAATGGTTTTCATTAATATATGGTAAGACCAAATCTGTGAAATCAAATTCATCCAACTTCTCACCTTTAATCCAATCCCATAAAAAGATCCCATGATCACCACCTGCACTAACTAATATATTAGAATTCCAACTTGGGATACAAATGGAGGAAACAAATTCCTTATGACCAAACAACCATTTGTCAACAATGTAACTCTGTGGGAAATGCGATATCTTAATATGTTCATCTCTATCACTGGTCATAACAAATTTCATACCGTTATTAGTAGTTGATAAAACACCAGTAAGCATTGAAACATGACCTAAAATTGGTTCGAATTCTTCATCTATGTTTTCAATAACTGGTGATTCAATCAACATCGAGTAGACATCACCAAACTTATCAGCTATAATTACAGTCTTATCATCTTCAGTAATAGTTATAGCATTTGGTCTCTTTGGGAATGGTTGTCTTTTAATTAATTTCAAACAATTGTCATTATTTAAAGTCTCAATTTTAAAGACAAGTACCGATTTATCAGAATCGGCACATGCAAGTAACATAGTTTCATCATTGGAAATCATCAAATTACGTATTTGTGAATAGATTGGAGGTGCTCCAGGTCCTGGCACTGGTATCTTAGCATCATGTTTTTTCTCAATGGTATTACCTTCATTAGTCTTGCTCTTTTTAATACCTTTTTCCTCATTTTCTGCCAATTGTCTAGCCTGTTCCTTAACAACTGCAATCTTAATCATCTCATCTCTACTAAATTGGTCTTCCCACTTACCCATCTCTAGATATTTACCATTAGTTTGATCATATCTATAAGCAATAATAACATTTTTTAAAACTGCAAAAATTAGCTCTCCAGAACGATTGCTAACAACTGCTTGAATCGGATGGATAAGAGACATTATAAACAAAATTCAATTAATCGATTAGAACTCACAATACCTTCTTGTTGCCATTTAAAACTAATAATCAGACATCTTAATCAGTGTATAACCTTTAATAAATACTGCTATTAGTGTTTAAATCAGAGCTCATCGCAAGATTCGGAAAATTTTTCAAAGCAATAACAGCAAATATGTCCGGAAATACCATGGTAATACAGTTTTTACCATAATTACCAAAAGCGGACACTTTGAACAATAATATAATAAGCTTCTCATCTGATATAAAATGAGATGACAGAACAATAGAAACCAATCCTTATTTTACAAACAACAAGGAAATATAGGATATCAAACCTTTAGATTACGTTTCATTCCAGAGAAATTTAGGATCCCCTATATGATCAAGAAATAACCCTTGTGTTCTGATAAGTAGCGGTTTTTTGGATGACCATTGTTTAACGTTTAATAAGCCAATATAATTACTGTCACAGCTAATATAATTAGCGTTATTGGGGGTATTTGATCATCTAATAGGATTTATAACTTATTTAGGATGGTGATATTTGATGAGGTATATTGACACAAATTATCGTTCGTTAGTCATCTCTCTCAATTTGGACACAGAAATAGTCAATATTTCGATTCTTGTTGAAGCAAAAATTTGAGATATATAAACAACTAAGATTTTGATTCTAATTGATATAACTTACTTATTCCTTTAAGTATTTTTTTTTGTTCTGATGTTGTTGAAATTGGGTTTTTTGTTTATGTTAATAATAGACGTTTATAATTTTTAATTTGCTAAGCAATCACTGCAAATATAACAAAAATTTAATAACTAAAGACACTATCTACATTTTTTAAGCAAAAAACAGAGACTATAAAAAATACATCTAAAGACAATATAAAATAGTTCACAGGAAACTCATACAAATATATCAATTATTATCTAAGGAATTCAATTAATCAAAATGCCCTTTGCTGATACGTTTGAGAATCCACTTTCAATGAACCCACCGTTATGCCAATTTAGTAAAGGAAATCATATTGTTGGATTGCCGTCTAAATACGCAAATGATGGTAAAGCAGTTCCAACTAATAGGTTTTACACCAATCTACTATTGGGAACAAGGAACCTGCCAGTTTGGACGCATCCTTACTGCTTTAACTATACTAACGAAACTGATAAAATGGGTATGGCAATTAGTTATCCTAATTCAAAAGATTTTATTATTAATAGAAATAATATTAAAGTACAAGAAACACCAAAATCATTTATTGCCAGTGCTGTTGATTTCGAAACCCCAGATGACATGTATTTAAGCGTGCTAGATTTAAAACTTATGTCAATTCAAGTACAACTCAAGAAAACTGCATCACAATTCATTTGGATACCAATGGTACAAGGTATGGGATTTGTTACATTGCTTTACTATAATTTAACTCCCAAGTTACAATCAGAAATAGGTTACAAATCACTTAAAAAATTACCAACACCAAGATCTAATATTCAAAAATACGAAGTAATTTTGGAAGATGACCAGGTTTGGTCTCTTTATGTGAGTACACCTTCAAAAGATATTATGGAATTATCATTAGATGACAACAATGTAATTATTGGTGATAGAACTGCAAAAGGCACGATGTTCCAGTTAATACCAGATTGTTCCAGTCAAATTGATGCAGCAGCTGGTTGTTATCCTATAGATTGTGAATTATCATCTGAATTTGATCCTGACAATTCGCATCATATTGGCCATTTATACTTCAAATACAAACTTCTTGGTAAGTCCAATTCGTTATCGACTTTAATTTATATTTTACCTCATCATTTGATGACTATATCCGATAAGAATTTGAAAAAGAAACTTACTACAACACTTAATTCAAGTGTTTATGGTCAAATGGTAGGATTGATAACAGATTCATTAGAATTCAGAATTACTCTTCCACGAGAGTTGAGATTTTTATTCATCAACGATAGTGACCAATTTCACTCAACGTATGTGTTACAAGCCTTACAAAATGCAGCTAGTTTAGAATCTGAGGATGAAATTAGTTACGACGAAAACATAGAAGGTCTTGGAGAAACGCTCAGCAAATATTCATGGATCTTGTATTGTTACCATTTCATCTTAGAAGATTATGATTTAGTAATGAAATTATTACCAAAATTGAAAAATTTGATGGATAAATTCATTTCTGATACCCTAACGAATAATAAACTACATTATGATACCACTTTTGGCGGTCTAGTATCCACAGTGAACTATTCCGAAAACTACTATTACTGTGATCATAATTATGATTATAGTTATTATATAATAGCAGCTGCAATAATTGGTAAAATCGATTCAGAAGTAACGAACGATAATTGGTTAAATCGAAACAAAGATTGGGTACAGGATCTCATCAGAGATTACTCAAATCCTTCAGATAAAGATCCATACTTCCCAGCATACCGATCATTCGATTGGTATCATGGTCATTCTTGGTCTACAGGATTAGTCGAATCAAAATATGGCAGAGAATATCATTCATGTGGTAAAGATTTAAATTCAATGTATGCAATAAAGTTATGGGGGATCGTGACAGAGAATCAGAATTTGATCAATATGGCAGACTTACAAATGGGTCTGCTTAAAAATTCGATGGATTGTTATGTATTATTGGAAGACGAAAATCAAATAATACCAACAATTTTCAAATCTAATGGAATCTCACAAAAACTATCGGATTCAAGCATATCATATAAACCCAATAGAACCGACCAGCAATCAATAGTATCAACCCATTTGAAGCACATAACCCCAATCACACCTGCAACAACATTCCTAAGGTCACCTACATTCACTAAGCAAGAATGGGACAATATTCTATCAAATACTATTGAAAATAACTGCAATATAAAGGAATCTCAAAGAAATGAATTAATACTAAGCAGAGCAATACATGACCCAATACCGTCATTCAACCATTTTGCAAATAATAGTTTTGCTTCCTTACAGTTTCATCAAACTCAAAGCTGGACATGGTCAATAGCCTTCGCTGCATCCCTATTATAATAACCGAGTCACATAACCCTCCATACATAGTTTTATATCTTCATACAAACATAATATCATTAAATAACAATACATTATAACCCATTAGATGACCTCAATTGCAATCTTCATCCATTCTTAAACCTTCTAAAGTGAACCTTTCTATTACCAACAGGTCCTTAACGAATTAGAATATTTAAACGATATTTTTTATTTTGATACTTCTTAACTTAAAGATATCGAACTATTTAATAGTGAAATAATTTAAGTTTAAGAAAGGGATAAAGGACAAGTGGGAAGGCTTTCTTGGTCATTGGTTGAGGTATCACTGTGTTTGAGATTGAATTTGTTATTTGGTAGGTTTTCTTTTCGTCTTCTGTCGATTTTATTTCACTGAGATTGAATAAATTTTGGGTTATACATCTGGACAAATAATTGTTACAAGAATATAACGAATAATGTCAGATTTAGTAGCATTACAGAGGGATTATCTGTTGAAATTGATCAGTGATGTGCGTACAGATCATGATCTTAAGTTTTTAGTGATTGATTCTGTTGTTGAGAATATTTTTGGGTATCTTTTCACTAATCCTAAGGAATTGTTAAACTATGTTACTGGTGTAGACAAGATTGATTCTTCCAAGAGGAAAGGTCAAGCTTCCGTTGATGCAATCTATCTTGTTGCTCCAACAAAATTCAATATCAGTTGTATTGATGCGGATTTCAGTAACATTCCTCCAAAGTATAAGAGGGGTCATATTCGGTTTTTGCCAGGTTTTGAAGGTCATTTAGTTCAATTCTTCCATTCAAAACGTTATATTAGTCAGTATTTGGCTTCTTTATCGGAAGCAAAGCTTGGGTTTATACCGAAGGAATCCCAATATTTCCAAACTCTGGGGATTGATAAGCCTTTACAAATCTTTTTCAATAGAAATTGTGGTGATCTAATAGAAAAAAATATTAAAAAAACCATCAATTCTCTTTTAGATATTTGTATCTTAACTGGTGAATATCCAATTGTCAGATATTCTGAACCGTTGCCAAATCAAACTGAACTGACCCCAGCAACAAGATTAGTTAAAAAATTGGCATTTGAATTCCAAAATACTTTGGATAACTATGCAAGAGATCATCAAGATTTCCCACCACAATCAAATCGACCACGTTCTGTATTCATTATCACTGACAGAACTCTGGATTTATTCAGTCCTGTTTTGCATGATTTTTCATACCAAGCAATGGCTTATGATTTAATTGATGATATAGACTTGAAAACTGATACCTATCATTACAATGCAGAAAACGAAATGGGGGAAAATGAAGAGAAGACCGCGAAACTATTGGATTTGACTGATCCAGATTGGGTTGATTTAAAACATCAGCACATCATCGATGCAAGTGATTATTTAGCAGGGAAAATCAAAGAAATTATTGCTAAAAATCCTCTATTAGTAGATAGAACAAATGTTAAAAATACTACTGACTTATTAAGTGTCGTTGCCCACTTGAAAGATTTTGATGAAGAAAGAAGAAGATTAATTCTTCATAGGACTTTAATAGACGCATGTTTAGAGATTAATCAAACAAGGCAACTTGCTAAACATGCTGAAATCGAACAAGATTTATCTGGATTCGGTTTAAATATGGAAGGTGAAAAAGTAAAATCAATTATAAACCCGTTGTTAATATCGTTAAGTTCAAAAGAACCTAGCATTACTGATAAAGTTAGATACATTATCATTTATGCCCTATACAGAGGTGGTTTGGTCGAACAAGATTATATGAAATTGTTAAATTTTCTTGGTATTAATGAAGAACATGATTTCTTTAGCCATTTTATGACTTTATTTAAAAACTTCGAAATGTTAGGCTTTAAACTAATCAAAGATGATCTAAAAACAAAGCCTTTTAGAAAAGAGTGGTTTCATGATACTATAATCAAGGACTCAAACGTCTACAACACTTCAAGATATATACCTGCTGTGGGAAGTAACCTATCCAAATTGATAACAAATCCTCTATTATTAAGTGAAGATTTCTTTCCTTATGTTAAAGATAAACCTATTGAATTATTAGATGAAGAGGAATTAGAGGCTGCAGGTGCCGCTGCCTCAGTAAATTCATCAGCGTCGTTGAGAAACCCTCGTCATAAAGCGGCATGGACTAAACATAGTGGTTCAAATGCTAAACAACAAAATAGGGCCCCAAGACAGAGATTTTTTTACTACGTTTTAGGTGGGGTCACTTATGCAGAAATAAAGGCAGCATACGATCAATCTCATTTGAAGAACAGAGATGTCTTTATTGGAAGTGACGGTATCGTCACTCCTTTGTCTTTTATGAAAAGTATAGAGTATTTGGGCACTCCAAGAGAAATGTTAGATTTAGATGATGATAGAAAGGAGAAAGAAACAGTTCCAGACTTCTTCTTTGATTCACTTGCTCCTGTTGCTGCTCCTGTGTCCCAAAAGCATATTCGTAGTCATAATCCACAACACGCGCAACAAAATCAACAACAACAAGAACAACAACAGAATCAAAATCAGAATCAAAATCAGAATCAAAATCAAAATCAAAATCAAAATCAAAATCAATCTGTGGCTAGTCCACCACCAGCATCTTCTTCTCCAGTTCCAGACAAGGAAGATAAGAAGAAGCATAATAAATTTCAAAAGTTTTTCAGATCTAAGAAGAAAGAGTAAATATGACCAGTTTATGATATTAATGTATTTAATGAAAGGTGTATTTTAAAATTGAAAAAGTTATATTATTTCATTAAAGATATATATTTTTAATATAGTTACAAACAATACTATGTATATAATTTAACACGTATTTTCATGATTGTTATGATAATAAGATTACATGTCCTCATCTAGGTTATATTTTTTAATAATATCACCTAATCTCTTTAAAGTCTTTGGAACTTTCTTGCCAGAATTATTTGATATTGGGATAGAACTTATCATTGAAGGCACTTCAGGTGCAGCTGGTGATAATTCATTACCTTGAGAATTGGGAACAAACAGATTTTTAGCCATTGCGTTCTGATTAATATTATTGGGATATGCATTTAGTTCAGAGTTTCCTACTTCTTGAATTTGGTTTGATCTTATCATAGAAAAATTGCTGCTATTTTGAATATGAGCAGGAGGCACTGATATATTTCTGGCAGCTAATCTTAATGGTATCATTTGATTGTTAATGATATCGGGAGTTAGATTATTGTAGTTGCTGTTTGAAATTGTGTTAGGAGCTGTAGTTGATGAATTGTAATTCATTGGTAATGTATTCAGTTTATTTGATCGAGCCATATTGTAATTTGTTTCCTGGGTTATAGTACCATATCTATTATGTCCTGCTTCTAGCTCTTGATCTAGAATAGGGGTGCTACTTGAAGGTATTTTATTTTGACGCTTTTGAACCATTGATCTATATACGTGAGTCAAGGGCGAACTGGAAGCAATTGAGGAAATCGATGAGGAATTGGAAATTTCATTCACTTGATCGCCTCTTATAGAATTCAAATCATTAGTGTTATACACATTTTTCCCATTCTTTGATTCTTCAACTTTTACGGCAGTACTCATATATCTTAAATCTTGTGAAGTTCCCTGCATATTGTGTGGTTGTGGAGGAGGTGTTATTTGGTTAACTTTATTTCGATCATGATTATTAGCCAAGTTGTTTGTTGGAGCAGGTGTAGATTCTCCATTTGAATTGCCAAGTAAAGTCTCTATTAAAACTGTATTTCGTTCTGCAGCATCAAGTATTTTCTGTCTTTCAGTTTCTCTATGTTGCTGAACTTTATGTTTCCTTATCTTATTTATAGATTCTAAACTTGTACTCTTTCCTGTAGGTACTGATATGCCTGTTTTATTTAATGCGATGTCTGTATTGCTACTATTCTGATCAACATCAGATTTTGCTAATCGTGGCAAGCTTCTCTCTATATGGTTTTTTTGATTGCTATTATTTACCAGTGCTTGCTCTTTTCGATTACCAGTGTGTCTTGTGATGAACATATTCTTTTCGATTACTGGTTGCACCCTAGAAACTTTCATTTCCTCTATAGAATTATTAGTTAAATATCCTGCTGTATTTGAATTTCTGATATTTCCCACTGGAGACCCAGTTCTGAACTCTAGTAATTGTTTGGTGGTTTCTGTAGCCTTTGCATATGCCTTGGGAGAACGCATACCAGTCATGTTGTGATTAGCAAAACCAGAAGAAGTAGGTCTCCTTGAATTAATATTGGAAGTGTGGTCATTACTACTCACCTGGGAAGAATGATGTAAGGGTTCCAATTCTTGTATTTGATTCATAGAAGCATGATTGGAATTTTCAACAACTACTGAAGCAGCTTTATTTTGCTCTCTCGCCAACGAATTATCTGAATTCGATATTCGAACTACCCTGGAAATTATCCCATTCTTTTGAGAGCCATCCCCCATTTGCTGTGTTGGTTCTGCCTTACCTGAAATATTATGTCTTTTCTTGTCGAAGTTCCAATAATTCATCTTATCAAATTTTGTAATATCTAACACGAAATCATTAATAACACTACTTGGTATCAAATCAAGTCTATTGGTACTAAGGTCGTTATCAGTAAGTTTACTAATAGAATACTGCTTTCGAAGCTTATCCTCCATACGTGCCCTTATAATCATTGGATCTGATCCATCACCCAATTCCAGTAACTTGTGAGCAAAAGCGATGAGCTTATTGGCCTCATCACGATAAGTATACTCTCTACCACCCATCCTAATATTAGAATGAACTTTGACTGTCAATATCTGATCTCTGTTGACCTGTTATCCAATCTATATCAACTTAAATGTTGCCTTTTCTATCCATTCTTAAATAATATTTAAGTCTTCTTATAGTTAAAGTTTCAAATATCAGTCGATGCCCGACCTTCTCTATATTAGAATTATATATGCGCTGTGTATATAAGAAAAGAGTAACTAAAATACATAAAATATTGTAATCAAGGAGTTCTTACATAATCAAATGGATGCCAAATTTGTGTTCCTTGCCTTTATAATTGTATACAGCAGTCACGAAGTTTAGATTGACACCATTGAGTTTCAGTAGACTTGAAGCTATTCTAGATATAGAAGATGGATGACAGTATAAGGATGCTTGACATTTCATACCTCCGGAAGATAATAGAGTAATAACTTCATCGTCTGAATCTAAAAATATCGTTACAAATGTTCGTCTATGTTCATTTGTGATCACTTTTGTGTGTGAAGTTGCAACAGATAAAATTTCATTTTTCAATGATAAATACTCAGTGCCAGTCTCGATGTCATCGATATCATCGATATCATCTTCAATTGTAGCTGTGTTACATGAAATACCACCCCATTCGCATAAAGCATTTCTAGGTAATTCTGATACCTCGGCTATAATTAAACAACCTTTAGGATCATCTTCTTTTGACATCCATAGTTCAGATTCATACGCCATATCTGAACAATACAATGACCAAGTACTAGTAATAACTGGGACGATGGACTTTTCTGATATGAAGCAAGTCATGGATAGTGATCTTTTAGCATCAATTGTATTCTTCAATGTATCGAAATGCTTCAATGATAGAACACTTTGATGCAAAGGATCGTGAAAGTTCATTTCCATTGAAGCTGGATCCAATGCTATTTGTCCACTAATGTAACTGACTTTATTTCTATCTGTACTTTTCCATATAGCTTGTGAGTATGGACCTATATTACAAGGAGCCCAGTATGATCTCCCTTGAACATGTAAACCATCTTTGTTATTATTCACCTTGATCCCATTTGGTAAAGTGGTGATATCACAACTTGCATCAACTATTACCGATAATTGTAAAAGACAACCTTCTGGCAATTCTTTAGAACCAACACAAGCTCTTGAAGGTGGTAAAGGACCAAATTTTTGAATGTCAAAGTAATTATTATAAATTTTGTTAACTTTGCTGAAATCGGACATGTTGAACAAGTATAATGATGAGTTTAATACTTGTGCCCTTGAATAAGTTTTCTCCCCTAGAATACTATCTAATTGGTTAAATACATTCTCAACTTGTCTCTCAATGTCTTCTTCGATATTTTGAGGAAATAAGTTAGAGATGTAAAGCAATCCATTTAAAATGTTAGTAGAAGCCTTTACATTTAATTTCACAGGTTCAACAATGTTAACAGAGTCCTTCTTCGGACAAGAGGTAGTGTTTGTAACTTCTATGGTCACAGCTTCTATCAATTCTTGCCACATATCCGGTAAGTAAGGAGGGGTTATTAAAGAATTTATCAGTGTTTCCGAATCTTCTTTGGTTAGTGGTCTTTCCTTAAATGATACTTCTAGTCTTCCATTGTACACACCACAGGAACGGTCTGAAGAATTAATCTTCTTAGATTTTATCTCTAGCAAACCCTTATGAAAGAATGGGGCATCTAAGACCATTGTTTCGAATTCACCACCTTCACCACATATATGAACATCGTACATTGAATTTAACTTCTTCAAGGTTGGAAAAGCTTCAGGTAGAGATTTGAATAAATGTGTCTCATCTAATCCAATTGCTGCTAATTTAATTAGTCTTGCATCCATATTTGCAGTTGTATCATCTTTAGTTTTTGAAGCCAGGCACATTTCAGTCATCAATTCCAATTGATCTCTCTGCCATAGGTAACTTAACACAGTTAAGCCAATTCTGCTACAAACATCTTCAACTCTAGTTCTTTGATAAGATGATAAAATTGCACCAACACTTACAGCCTCTAAATCAGGTATAGCGTCTTTAACTTCTAACAGTAACTCTAATAAATCCTCAATTTCATCATTCTCAGTCTTGACATAATTCAAATTTACATTCTTTGAACCTTGTAGTTTAATAGAATGTCTAAAAAGAGGTAATCCCGTACATTGGTCATAGTAAGATACTACGTCATGACCAACTGTTTGGAACATAAAACTATCCAGCTCTTGTTCATTAGTATCTTCTGGATGTAAATTAGCCAATGCGACTAATTCATGGCCGTTTTTAATGCAATGAAGTACATTATAACAGGAATCCTTACCACCTGATACCAGGGCAACAAACTTCATCTTTCTTGGACTACCTTTCAACTTATATTCACCTCTTTGACCTCAATTTATTCTCATCTCGTCTCAATTCACCTGGTATAGAAATAATGGTCTCATTAAAATTTCGTCTACTTTTTCATCCTCTAATGGCATAGTGATTAAGGAACCATTGCAGGTATAGAAGAAATGAAGAAATGAATCACCAAATGTCAACAAATTGGGTCAATTGCAACTTCCAATTGAATGTTTCTATGATTCAGTTTTTTCTTTTCAAGAAGACTAACAATTTTTATACATTTTTAACAAATTCTATAGTATAAATGTTAATAGAATTAGACATACATTAAGTTTGAAATATAAATAAATAGAAATAAAAAAATAATGCTAAAAAATCATATAATTAAAAATCACAGTTATGCAGTTTTCTTTCTTGTGAATAAAGTTTTGAAAACTGCCTTTACCAATGGCCAGCCATTATCACTACGGACAGCATCACCATTTTCTTGTAATCTCCTCAACAAATAATCCTTGGTCTCTAATGGAGGACCCCAAGGAACATATTTGATGATATTCTTCACGTTATGGTGAGTTATCAAGTCGTAGGTGACATTGTCAGCCATGCCTAGCAATTGAGCTAAAGTCACATTTGCTTTCCCATAATTAGAACCTCCTTGAGTTAGCAAATCTGTAGCTAACATTTGGGAATCATAATTATGTGAGGCTACTACCAAGTGACCATACGATGATTTCGATCCCTTTATCAATAAGTCATTAATTACCTTTGACATTATGGTATTGTAATTGATATCAGTGGCCTCTTTTGAGGGAAGGATCACCGCATCACGGTTTGGTTCTGTATGGATATAGGCTCCACGAACCAATTTCATACCTAACCTATAGTTGCCTTCTTGAGCCAGTTTGTATTCCTGGTCAATTTGTTTCCCAGAATCAGTTAAATACAATTGCCAAGTCCCTACACAGGAGATAATTGGCGAGGAGACCGGGTTGAACTTCTTGAATAAAATACGTTGCAACTCATAAACAGCTTTAGTCTGGAAATTGTATTTCTCAGCATCGATAGTTGATACGAAGAAAGGTGATACTCTTTGAGGATACTTCTTTAATAACTCTTGGTTCAGATCGTAAACAGCTTGCGTGATTTTAGTGCAATTATCTATCAAAACATCACGTTGTGCCTTCCAATCTGGGTTATTGAAATTCAAAAACACTTGACTAGGATTAGAAACCAATGCAGAAGGTTTTAAAGCAATATAGCCTGGGACAACTGAATTGACATCAGCAGCAGCCTCCAATTGACTCAAAATATTTGGTTTCAAAATTTCATGTATAGATTTGATAGTCTCGTTAACAATAAAATCAATATCGATATCTTTAGTCCCCTCGGAATCTTCAATCGTCAAGGATAACATCATGTTTGAGATGCCCCTATCCTGCAATATTTTCCCGCAATCTCTAACCTCTTCCATAGTGGAACCACCACAATACAATGAAGACACCATGATTTTAATCAATGGCATAGGGACATATGGAAACATCATAATGGCAGCATCTAATGTTAGTTTGCTACTGCTAACCAACCCAATACAGCCCAATGACAACAATTCTGGCTTTGTCAAAGTCTGTAAATACTCTACAGTACTTGGAGGCTTATAATGAACGTTCTTACTATCACTACTGTGATGATGCTGGTCATCAGGCATCAAAGAATCATTCAAAAATTCCACAGACCTAACAGCAGTATTAGTCTTGTTCGTTTGAGACACGTAACCACGACTAATCATCCCTAATCTACACCAACTGACGTAACTACCTTTTGGCAACCGTCCTAACTTGCTAAAACCATATTTTGCCAGCATTAAAAAGCCTCTTACTTATATATTGAAAAAGTTGAATATTTGTAACGTTAATGTTTTTTTTATTTAAAAAAAATAATAATAATCTCTTGATATTCTCTGTCTCTCAATCTCGTAAACAGATAATTCAAACGTCTCTGTCTTGTTCAAGCACAATATAGCGACGTCAATAATAATAAATTTCACACAGATTTGATGTTGTTTTTTTGGATCAAGGTACAAACGAATGCAAAACCCACATTTAATCAATCAAAGTCAAAATTAATAACTTTGAAATTAAATACTAAAAAGAAAATTCCAATATCCATTAAATTCAATCATTATAATTCTGACATTTTATACCTTTGGATTCCAAATTTTCGAACTCTAAAAGGCTATGACCCTTCCTTATCAACTTCACCAAATCTTCCCACTAAACAACAGTAAGCCTCAAATAAGACACTGACCCTAGATGTTATCAGTAAAACCACTAAACGGACCAGCAAATTTCAATTCTCTGATTATTTATCACGCACCTCAACTGGTTTTCTAAGTTTAGTCATCAATTTTTGATCCTGCACACGAACCCGTTTTCCCGGTTGGAAATCGCATTTGGAAATAGGAGGGAGATAGGGAGACAGGGAGAGAACCATAACCAAAATAAATTACAGAGGGGAAGCAAAGGTGTATCAAATGACAACCAAAGGAATCCTTGTCATGCAAACCAAACATGATAACAAACAAAAAAATTCAACTATTCCGATTGTAAATTAGAAGTCAATGGCGAGAACAACAGACTAACTTCAAAACTCTGTAAGAGAGTCGTTGTTAAGTCAAAAAATGGTAAAAAGACAACAACAACAACAACAACAACTTAAAAGCCTATGAGTTATCAAAGAGAAACTGTCTTGACATCAATTTAGTTATCGGTAATGGACATTCTAATGAGGTTTTATCAATATCGTTTGTAATGGTAATCAATTCCGAATTATCAGTATCATCAGTAGATAAATAATTTAATATTGCATGTTGGTACATTGCTGATTTATTCATATCTGACTGTTCCATTAAATTTGTTTCCCAGTCGCATATTTCGAATTCCAATGGATTATTGATTCTGTTGAAGCTGTCGTCAGCAATAAAGTTTTCGATTATTTGTTTCTTGAATGGTGGTAATGATGTTTCTGTATCATAGTCTTGATAATCGGGTTCATTTTGTTCATTCTGTTCAATTTGTTCGTTATCTCTTGATCTTTTGACTGCTTTTGTCATCTGGTTGTTGAGTTTGTATAGTCTCTTGATTAGTGGATGATGGTAGACTTGTTGTTGTTGTTGCTGTTGCTGTTGTTTTGGGATATTTATTGGTTGCTCAAATTCTTGCTCTGGTTCTGCAATAGTATTTGATGCAAGTGTGTTGAATATTAGTGCTGGTATCATAGATCTTGCTATTTCGTTGGTTTTGAAAAGTTTACCTTTTAATTCGTATTGGATTTGAAATTTGCGTAGTGTTGATAATATGCTTTCACCAAAAGTAGGTATATTTTGATATTCTTGTTTTAAAAGTAATATGGATTTGTTGACATCGTCCTTTTTGATAACATGAGGAAGATATTTATCACTTTTTGAATCGTTGTATGTAATTACCATATCGCCATTCTCATCTTCATCAAGATTAAGATCTTTGTTCTTAACCAAATTACCTGTTTCATCCTTGGGTATACTCCTCTTATTCATAACCATCAGTATTGTCACGTTTAAAAGTTTTTCCAAATATTTATAACAGCAATTTTTCAAATAATCATATGCTTCATCTGATATAGGTAATGCTAGCTTACATGGAGGTTGTAACTCCTCTATATGCGTCCTCGAATACATCGTCAACCATCTTTTCTCCCAATTTTCAATAGATATCAAATCATTGTCATCCGGCTCATTATATTTGGCTTGTTCAAACTCATTTCGTACTCTTTCACTCATATGCTCTTCTAGATCAATAAAATATTCATCCATCTCATATGCAATTGGCAACTCGATCCTCGACATAATCCCACCATGTTTCTTCATCTTGGAACTTTTTAATATATTTAAATTCTTCTTCAATATTTGATAATAAGAATATATTTCATGTTTGGATTTAAATGGAAGCCTAACACACCATTCATCTAACATATGTATCGAATACCTCGACAGGGAATGAAAAAATACAGTCTTCTCTTTTCTAGACCAGTAAACCCCCAAGGTATAATCTATATTTTTATCACCACAGAACTAAAATCTTGATCATCTTCATGTCGCTACAGGGTCATCAGCAAACCTATATCTTCCCTATCCTATCAAAGCAGAAATCCACCCCTATGACCCTATCCCTATTCCTTGGTCAACATTTGACAGCCCCTAAAACCCGTTATTTCCCCTCCCTCCTTAGAAATCAAAAATGGCCCACTCCCCGTTAAAAAAAAATAATCGAAAAAATCCGACCAATTACCTCTATCCAATTTTTCTTAAAAAAACAAAATCCTATGAAAATTTCATCTACCAAAAGAAACCTCTAAAACCAAGGTTCTAAGAAAGATTCCCCCTCCGTAAACTTGAGTCCAATTAACTTTTCCTAAGC